TTTAAATTCCAGTCAAAATATCAGCTGTATTTTTGTAGAAATTGATAATCTTATTCTAAAAATTATATGCAAATGAAAAGTCAGACATTCACACAAAAAAAGAACACAGAAGGGAGACTCATTCTCCCAGATATCAAGACTATAATACTACATTGAATTAGGACAAGTGTCATTAGCACAAAAACCAGTAGAATATAATGGAGAGCCCAGAAAAAGGAACACACATATCAGCCACGTAGTGTGTAAACAGGGTGGCACTGCACAACAGTGAGGGGGATTTGGTCTTTTTAATACATGGTACTCTGTCAATTTGATATGTGAGAAAATGAACAAAGCAGCTTCATGACCTTGGGGAAGGGAAAGATTTCTTAAATAAGACATCATGGTACTAACCCCATAAAAGAAAATATTGATTGCTAGAATACATAATAATTAAGAAATTCTATTTTGGCCAGGCATGGTGGCTCACACCTGTTATCCCAGCACTTGTGAGCCTGAGGTAGGTGGATTATCACCTAAGCTCATAGGTTCGAGACCAGCCCAAGCCAGAGGAAGATCTTGTCTCTAAAAATAGCCGGGTGTTGTGGTCCCAGCTACTTGGGAGGCTGAGGCAAGAGAACCGCTAGAGCCCAGGAGTTTGAGGTTGCTGTGAGCTATCGATGCCAGGGCATTTTATCAAGGGTGACTAGTGTGACTCTGTCTCAAAAAAAAAAAAAAACAGAAATTCTATTTTTCAGAAGACACAGTTAAGAGAATAGGAGCCACAAAGTAGAACAGATTTGTAGTAGACAGACAGGTGTACAGATGTAGGTGTGGGTATATATATAAACGTAGATATACAGATACAGCCATCAAAGAGCGTGTACCCACAGCATGTGCGCACGCGCACACACACACAGTTTCAAACAATGAGTCAAATACATGGGAAAAGGTGCTTGATCTCATTAATAATCAGGGAGACAGAAACTGGAAGCACAAGATACCACTATACACATACCAATATGGCTAAAATCAAAGAGGCCTGACAACACTGACTATTGATAAGACTTTAGACCAAGGCGGTGCCTGTGGCTCAGAGGGTAGGGCGTTGGTCGGCCCTATATACTGAGGGTGGCGAGTCTGAAAATATATCTCATGGCCTAGTTCTCATGCCAGTTTGCCTACTGGCAGGAATGCCAAAGATAGCTATATACAATGCTGTAAAAAATTCCAAGAGAAAACTCAAGATCATGAAGTTACCTAGACTTCTTCGGGCTAAGCAGAGAGCAGAAGAAAATCATCAAAGAGGAAGAGAGACCCTCCAGAAGAAAATCATCTCCTTTTTGACAATATCCTATGTGAAAATAGACTTTGCCCCATGTATCGCTTTTATGGTGAAGACAGAGCCACTTGCAAAAAGTCTTATTCACATTAATACTTTCACTGAAATTCAAAGTTCTTTAGTACTTACAGTGAGTGAGAGCAAAAGATGAGGGGAGCATAGAGGGAAAGATAGAGTGGGGAACGCGTGAGACGTTACAAAGACACATAGCACAGCTCTGGGTATTCATTACAGGCTCAAAAACGGCATAAAAATTAAACCAACCTACCTCCAAGGAATAACTAGAAGTGAAAAACTGATAAGGAAAAAATGGCTCATATTCACCTCATTCATTTCCTGCGCATGGTGAGTCAAACTTGACTGTTGGTTGGAAGCCCGTTTGGCTACTTCTTATTTCTTTTTCAGCAGTTGGCCTCTCCTGTCAGTGCTTTTTATGCTGGAGTCGGGCTTTGCTCTAATCACAGCTGTCAGCTATTGAATGAGCTTGACACCCTGACTCCAGGAACGAAGGAATACACACCCCATGCATATGCAGTTGGCTCCTTCATTAAAGCTGACTGACATATCAGACGTGGCGCACTGTTGCTGATTTTTATAAGAAAAACAAATGGCTACACAATCAAGTAGGGACCTTCCTTGATCAGAAACATCCAAGTTGGACAACAATCAGTCTTTTCCAACTCAGCTAGTATTATTGTAAAGACCTATATTTTTATTTCTGCAAAATGAAAGATATAAGAGCCAGGTCCATACATACGGTACATACCAGACTCAGACTCCTTCCCCCAACCTTAGCTGTCCTTTCCAGGTTATTTTAATTGGAGTCCCAGGTGTTGAGAGTCAAGTGGGATTAGTTGGCTACCAGGAACTGGCTTTTTGAGAAGTAGACATTTCTTGGAGGAAAAGGCAGAAAATTATAGCCCCTTTTGCTACTTGTCAGTATTTCTGTTTACTCAATTAGGATCTTTCTTCTTGCCTTTTTTTCTTCTTTTTTGGTCAACAGATTTACGTTACTGAAATACTACTGCAAGTGGTAGCAGCGCAAGCTCTCCAGACTGCCACAGAAGAGCATTCTACAAAATGCATCACACCCCACCAAAAACTGAAGCAAAGATATAGCTTCTCGGAGTGTTTCTATACCTAAGTTAATATCATGAAATGTGACTCAGAACTGAACTCGATCATCTAGTCCAAAACCACCAATGAGTTCAAAATTTCTCCACAGCATCCCTAGCAAGGGATTATTCAGAATCTAGTTGACACTCCTAGCAATAAGCATGCCTTTTTTAGTGGGAAGCTGCTTTCTGGAAATGGAAGCACAAACTGAATCAGTATTATAGGAAGCCATTGGGCACGGTACTGATACAGAACAAGTGGTGTCCCAGCCAGCTCATGGAGCTGGGCATGGACCAGCTGCCTCCACCTCGGCAATGTTGGTGCAGTGGCAGCGAGCAGCAGAACCAGCAGGCTGGAGGGTGAGTAGGGAGGTCCCCATTTCCTAGGCCTGGGAATAAAAGGGATTGTAGCTATTCATTTGCAACCCAGACATGTTGTTCCAGACATGTCCTAGACAGATGTCCCAGACACACTAAATGTAACTACCTAGCCCCACTAAATGTAACTACGAGGGCCAGACATGTCCCAGACACACTAAATGTAACTACCTAGCCCCTAAACGTTCTAAATGTAACTACCAATGGCCAGACACACTAAATGTAACTACTGAGGGCCCCATGTGACTATATAGACCCCTAGACGAAGAGTCAACAGACAGAGATGGAGAGAGAGCATTTTTTCCTCCTAAATCGAGTTTTCTCTCTCTGCCAGGAGCTCTGGCACTTCTGTATTCTTTTCTATAAATAAATCTGTCTTACCACTAATCTGTGGACTGCCGATTCATTCTTCGAATCACTGAGACCAAGAAGCTACTGAAGAGCAAAATTCCAGTATCATATTGAGTTGATACAGGACAAGTGGCATCCCAGCCAGCTCGTGGAGCTGGGGGGGCACGACCGGCTGCCTCTGCCTTGACGATGTTGGTGCAGTGGCAGCAAGCAGCAGAGCCAGCAGGCTGGAGGGTGGGCAGGAGGTCCCCATTTCCTAGGCCTGGGAATAAAAGGGATTGTAGCCATTCATTTGCAACGCAGACATGTTGTTCCAGACATGTCCCAGACAGATGTCCCAGACACGCTAAATGTAACTACCTAGCCCCACTAAATGTAACTACTGAGGGCCAGACATGTCCCAGACACCCTAAATGTAACTACCTAGCCCCGCTAAATGTAACTACTGAGGGCCAGACATGTCCCAGATAAATGTCCCACACCCGCTAATTGTAACTACTGAGGGCCAGCCATGTCCCAAACAGATGTCCCAGACAGGCTAAATTTAACTACCTAGCCCCTCTAAACGTAACTACTGAGAGCCCCATGTGACTATACAGACAGACAGACAGAGGGAGAAGGAGCACTTTTCTCTCCTGACTGGAGTTTTCTCTCTGCCAGGAGCTCTGGCACTTCTGTATTCTTTTCTATAAATAAATCCTGTCTTACCACTGATCTGTGGTCTGTGGATTCATTCTTCAAATCACCGAACCTGCTGAAGAGCAAAATTCCAGTATCAGTACCTACAGAGATGCATTCCCAACTTACAACTTACATGGCATTTTATAATCACTGCTTGTACCCTTCAAATCCCAGCAAGGTATAACAGGACTCCAGCCATAGACTTGTCCTGCCATGCTTCCCACAATAGTTGAAGCCTTTCTTCCTGGCTATGGGGATATTATCAAGATCCTTCAAAGGGTCAAGTAACTTCTGACCATCCCTAATTGATCTGCTCCCTCCATCTTCCTTAAATATCCATTAAACTGTTCCTCTGTGGCACTCTGGAGAGCTTGCAACGCTACCTTTTGCAATATTTTAGTAACTTAGATCTGTTGACCAAAAAAGAAAATAAAAACGGCAAGAAGAAAGATCCTAATGGATTAAACAAAAATAATAAGTAGCAACCCCAACTAAGTTGAGAGCAGTAAGGGGGTGCAGCGACTAAGCGAAAGCGCTTACTCTATCCATCTGAAGCGGGTAGGTACGTACAAACACATACACAGAGAGGTTCTACTGGACGCTGTGATATATTTTTCTACGATATAAAAACTTTGAGGGGAACAGACCTGTGAGCATTGCACAACAGAGTACTAAGGGACGTTCCACACGCAGCTACCTCTATGACCCATTACCTCAAACACCCCCCTCCCCGTTTATTAGCCCAGAGCACGTATCGCTTGTGGATATTAAGCTAGTTTGTCGCATTTTTCAGTCTCCCCCACAGGACTGTCCCGGGGCCTGGAAAGGCGCCTGGTGGGCGGCGGGCGGCCGGGAAGCAGTTCCCGCGCGAGCGCTGCCTCAGCACGCGGGCCTAGAGGGGTGAATGAACGGACGCCACCAGCCGCAGCCCGGGCCGCCCTCCTCTTCCCCACCTCAGTCCCATCGCCCCCAGCCCGGGAGAATCCCAGGTGAGCGCCCGCCGCCCGCTTTCGAGAACCTTCACCCACGAAGCGGAAAAGCGTCCGGGCGGAAGAGCCGCCTCACCCCGGCTGCTGCCCGACCCGCGCGTGCGCAGGCGCGGCCGGGCGCTTCTGGGAGGTCACGTGCTTTCTGGTCTCCTAGCAACATCTGCAAGCGTTGTTGACATCCCTGAAGGCTGCGGCGCCGGACTGAGCCCGGAGTCTCGCTGATCGCGCCATGGTAAATCCGGGTCTCCTCCCGCGCCCCAAAGCTCCGAGGGCGCCGACTGCGGGGGCCGTCACTGCTGGGATCCCGGAAGGTCCCGGGCCGCGGCGAGGGCTGGTGGATGCTTCTCGGAGGGGCGAGAGGGAGACGTTAGACCGGGGCGGGGCGGGGGGACGATAATGTCCAGATGGGAGGAAGCTATCTGGAGGGTCGATTTGGGGGGTGGTTCTTGGGGAGAAAGGTATGTGTGAGAGAGAGAAGAGATGAAAAATTCTGAGGGGGATGAGAAATCCGGGTTGCTAGGGAAGTTTGCCAAGGGAAGGAGCAAAATGGGGTGGAGAAGTGAGAGATGGGGCAGGGAGAGCAAGGGAACGGAAGGGGAATGGACAGTGAGTGTTGAGAGGAAGGGACAATAAGGAGGGGAGCGAGGGAAGGCAGCCCCCCAGGAAAGTAAGAAAAGGAAAGGATCACAGAAAGTAGGGGAAAGGAAGAGCTTTAAGAGAGGAATGAAACGAGATTGGAGATGGGGACTAAGAGATTGTATTAGGAAGGCTTAGAAATCATGAGTAGAGAAAACAGCCAGGTAGAGAGAAGGGCCAGGAAGAGAAGAAAGAGCAGTTAAGGCAAGAAGTAAAATAAAGATAAAAAAGGACAGTGGCCTTAAGGAGCTGTGGACATCGTGGTAAAGATGATCAAAAATGCAGTAAACTGTTGATCCCCTGTACGACTATGACACTTTAGTGCGGTGTTTCCCAAAGTGGGATGCAAATAGTGGTCACTACATAAAATGTCCCCAAACTGTCCAGTAGCAGAATAAATCACATCGCAAGAAAGTTATTCCTCTTTCATTTTGGTCAGCCTTGAAACAGAAGGAAGTTTATGATCTTCTTAGGCTCTTAATACCACCCTTGTTTGGTAATTCCCATTTTCTCACCAGAAAGGCAGATCTCAAACTCAGCGCTTTCGTTGCAATAGAATTTCGTGATATATTCTAATTTCTCTTCATTTTGTTTGTCTTTACAGTTGTTTCTATCTATGACAAATACTTCCAGATTTCCATTTGTGGTAGTGGAGTATAGTTTCATCTTAAATTGCTTTTTTTGGCAGGGGCTGGGTTTGAACCCGCCACCTCTGGCATATGGGGCCGGTGCCCTATTCCTTTGAGCCACAGGCGCCGCCCTTAAAGTGCATTTATTTAAGCTTTTCTCAGTGAGATAATTTGAGGAATATACTAAATAGATAATATAGATGGTATTCAGAGGGGCAAAAATTATGACCCTAGAATACAAATGCCTGAAATTCTGAAAACACATGCTATAATGATGGTAAAGAGAAATTAAGGGCTTTCATACCCACGCTTAACTCAAGTGACATAACGTTAACCTGTGGGATATTGAGGGGGGAAAAAAGAATACAGCACACTGTCATCAAGAGATACACAATCAGAATATACAGTGATTGCTCAGTCGGGAACAATATGCAGGTTTGGAAAAAATTATTCTTGATTTTGGCATTTCTAGAGGGGATGAAAACTGACACACTACAGTCTGTACATAGGATTCTGAAAGGTGAGTTTAAAACACACTAATGAGTTCCAAAATTACCATTCATGGTGAAACATGTAGCTTGCACTGAGAGCCAAGCCATAGTTACCAAGAAAATCCTGGAATCCTAGAATACATTGTTTCCATAGAATATCCTTCTGTAAATTTAATCCTCTGAACACCCAATTAGGTAGCATTAATGAAAGTAAGATTTCTCATTAAGGACCAGTTTTAGGCAGAGGGAGGCCATGATATACAGCTCTATAAATATTTAAAGGACTATAATGTAGAAAAGGAATGTTCGTGTGAATACAGACAGATCGAGTGTGAGGTGCTCTGGGGAAGAATACCTTTCTAGGAAACGGAAACGTAAAAATGGTGCAAGCTCTGTGAGTCAGTGAGATCTCTTTTTCTACTGGGTTCAAAGCAAGAGGTCTGTCAGGGTTGTATACAGGGGTCTTATATAGGTTTTTATGTGGGATTTGACAGTTTCCAAGCTGTCCTTGAAAAGTCTTAGATTATAGCACCCAGTACCTTAAAATTAGGAGGCGTAGGTATCTTTTTAAACATTATTATCCCTGGGATTAGGGTCACCACGAGGACCCTTTTGGTTAAATGCCTTTCTGATCTCTTCCAGACAGAGGTGGAGGAAACCCTAAAGCGGATCCAGAGCCACAAAGGGGTTATTGGAACTATGGTTGTAAATGCAGAAGGTAAATATGTCCCAGACCGTCTTCACTCAGAGCCAACCAGGAACCTGCATGCTATGTCAGTCCTAAGACAAACATCTTCGAATTTGAAATCAGAAGCATTTTTTGTATATTTTAGCTATGGCCTTTCCTTGTCAAACATCTAATGAACATCTGTTATATGCCAAGCATTCTGCTAAGAGCTAGGCATATAAATATGAGTGCCAAAATGTACACACATTTTAAGAAAAGAAAACCCTGTATTAAAATTATAATACCTAATACAGATAACAAGAAATATAAGTCACGTCGAGCACCTCTTATAACTGCAGGAGTCAAACATAACTTGGGGGCTACAAGTTTCATAGTTTTTTTCCTTTCTTAAAATGTGTATACATTTTTCAGTACCCTCTGTATATATTCCTGAGCAACACTATATATTGTCTACTATTTAAAGCTTTGATCATTCTTTTCTGACATTTCAGAAGGCCAATAAAACTGTCATGTTGAAGCTAGGGAGTTTATTATTGCTGGCAGTTTCTTTTTAACGTTACAAAAAAAAAATACAGTTTCAGTCTTTAAGCGGAATTGTTTCTTTACCATATTGAATAAAAATCTTTGGGAGTTACTTTTAGGATTTATAGGCTTTGTGGGAGAAAAGTCTAAGAAGGGGCAATGCATTCTGACTGGGAAATCTGCAGGCTTACCAGAAGCTTGCTTTCGACACACAGCCTCCTTAAGAACCCACGTAGTGTCTCCGGCACTTTGCTCCCTGCTCAGCTATGGTAGCGACCTCTTAAACGTTCCTGCCGGTTTTCATTACTAATTCAGGCATTGGTAAGGACAAGAGGTGACAGAAATTCCAGAGCATTTGTTAAAATAAGAGTAGCCACCTCACATAATTCACAGTACACCCGTGGAGTTGGCCTATTACCAACTCGGTGCCTGGGCAAAATCCATTAGTAAATATTTGTTGAACAGCTACCAAGTGAAAGTCTGTTTAAGTTGTAAGCTAAAATTCCTTGCCATGAAGAATGGGAAAATAACCTACTTTACTGGTGGGTTTGATAATTAAATGAGACAGTAATTGTCCAGTGCCTGACCCAGTACCCGATACTTAATAGAATTGCAGTTAAATAGTTCTGAGAATGTGGAAATTTTTAATTCATTTGTACAGAGAAAACATTTGACTTGATTTATAAAATTAAAAATAACTCAGTGCTAAATAAGTCTCTCTTCTCTTATGCTCTCTCTCTCTCTCTCTCTCTGTGTGTGTCACACACACACACACACAAAAAAAATATAGTAAATTCACCAAAGTTAAGTAATCAGGGTGAGAAAGGATTTAAGATCAGCCTTACAGGTAACTCAAAAGTTATGCCCAATATTTCCAGGCAGCATTCCAGCCCTAGTGTGTGGATCCAGGCAGCGTTCCAGCCCTAATGTGTGGATCTGGTTGAATTAATTTTATTTCCAGGTATTTGCATACTCTACCCCACTCTCTAAGATGGGTTCTCCTTGTGGTTTCATGGAGGTGCTGTGTTGGCTTCCCTTGGCTACAGTAACAAATTATCACATCCTTGGTGACTTAAAACAATGGAAATTTATTCTCTCTCAGTTCTGGAAGCCAGAAATTGACATCCAGGTATCAGCAGAGTTGTGTTGTCCTTGAAGCTTCTCCATAAGGATCCTTCCTTGCCTCTTCTTAGCTGCTGGTGGTTGGTGTCAGTCCCTGGTGCTCCCTGGTTTACAGACACATCCCTGCAATCTCTGCCTCCATCATTACGTGGTGTTCTCTCGGTGTCTCTTGTTTTCTTATAAGGACCCCAGTATGACCCCATCTTTACTAATTATGTCTGCAAAGACTCTGTTTCCAAATAAAGACAACCTTCTGAGGTTTATAGTGGATGTAACTTCGAAGAGGCCACTATTCCACCCTGTACAGGTGCATTCACCTGTGACATCCAGAACAATTCACCTTAATGTGCTTGGAGATCTTGGTCTAAAGTAACCCTGGTGATATTTATTAACTATCTGAAGAATGTCCATCCCTTCAATCTATAACTCCACTCCTAGGAACTTATCCTAAGGAGTTATAAATAAAAGATTTAGGCATAAGGACGCTCAGGCATCATGAAGAACAGCAATAAGCAAATCCATCCCAACAGTAATATGTATGACTGTGGAATATTTACTTAATGGACGTTACTCTGCAGGGCGTCCCAAAGGTTGCAGGGAACATGGGAAAACGTACCTACATGTACCTTTATTTACAAAATAGTCATTATAAAATTTTTTAAAATATTTACAAAATGTTTCTAAACTTTTAAATATAAAAATATTTAAAAATATGAGTTTGTTAATTTTCCTATGTACAGTGACATTTAGGACACTCTGTGCTCCTATATTTAAGACGCTGAAGAACATTTAGCATCAAGGAAAACTACTCAGAATATTAGTAAATAAAAAAGCCGAGAACTCAGCGGCAGCTGAACTGTCTACTCCTAATCATAGCAGGCGCACACAAGTACTTCCCATACCCACGGAAGGGAAGGAAAGGGCTTGTTACTGGGCTCACCTCTGAGTAGGGGGATGAAAAGTGGTGTGTGCTTTATTTTTCTGAGTTTTCTCGATTAGCACTTACCCCAAAGCAGCAAAATATCATTTTTTATTTTTATTTTTTGAGGGGGTTAATATTAGCTCTTTCCTACACAAACCCCATTTTTAATACCCATTAACTTCTAATGAGCCTCGACTAGGATACAGTGTCAGCATCCAGGGCACTTCTCAAGCTTTCTGAATACCCAGAGTTTTTACCTAAAAGCCAAATTAAGCTTTCCCCCCCAAAAAGAATAGAATTGGAGGGCTTATGTATATAGTCAGCTGATTAATAACTAGAGTGTATGACAAAGATGTTTATTCATCCTATATGGTATAAATTAGGTGACCGGAATGTAATTTAAAAAAACTCAATTTCACCAGCCTACTCACTTTTATATGAAAATGCTATTTGTTACAGCGTAGCTTTGCAGCTTTGGGAAGTCCTGTGAAATTTAATACCCAGAATATTTAATGAAGATGCTGTTTCTCTATTCCTGTTCTCTACTGGTGGTTTGGGTCTACTGGTTCTAGGCAAATAACGTACAGATGCTTGCAGACTGTATCTATCTATGGTCAGGCAGGTCTCCTACCACGCGTCTTCAATTAGATACCATCACATCCACGTTAAATATGATCCTTTGCACTTCCTAGCCATGACAATGAAGGGACTTAGCGGTTTAGCCCAATGCTGAGTGGTGCACATTTTGATTGGAGTAGACTTTTTGTTAACACTGATTTCCTATTTATAAGACCATTAATTGTTTACAATATTGCAACACTGATCACTGAATCAGATACTGATAAAAAGTGTATTTGTCTCCCAGGCAGTCATATCCGTCTTATATTCTTATGTACTTAAGCCTGATTTCTGTAGGTCTTAATTTTAAATATCTCTGACATTTCTAACAATCCATCATTCGAAGCTCATTACATTTTATCAACCACCCCGTTTCTTTTATTTTGAAATACAGTCTGTCAACCAAAGTGCAAATGTCTAGTCGAAGATGATAAACTGAAATCGCGAGAGCATCTGACTAGGATCAGAAAGAGTCACATTTTAAAGTAGGGCCATAAATCCAGCCGTACCACATTTTAAAACCCAAGTACTCTTTGTCCTAGGAGCTGCATTATAGGAACTTATCGTGCACATGCACACAAATGGGAAATGGCACACACAAGGCACATTCTGCTGCTCTGCTTATAAAAGTCAAAGACTGGGAACAGCCTAAAACCCTGTCGGGAGCATGCAGTAGTTAAGGGCATCACAAAACATCCATTCAACAGACTATTATTCAGTCATTAACATGAATGACTTAGTTTTATGTGCCCTGAGTCAAGCAGTTCCCAAGTGTATTTATTAAATGAAAAAGCTTAAGGTACAGAAGAGAGAATGATGCCATTAAAATAAAAAATAAAAACTTTTACTTTTCTTTCTTTTTGAGACAGAGTCACTCCATCGCCCAGTCTAGAGTGCCATGGCATCAGCCTGGCTCATAGCAACCTCAAACTCCTGGGCTCACTCAATCCTCCTGCCTCAACCTCCTGAGTAGCTGGGGCTATAGGCACCTGCTACAATGCCTAGCTGATTTTTCTATTTTTAGTAGAGACACGGTCTTGCTCTTGCTCAGGCTGGTCTCGAACTCCTGCACTCAAGCCATCCTCCTTAGTCTCCCAAAGTGCTAGGATTACAGGCATGAGCCACCGCACTCTGCCACAAATACAAACATTTCTTCAACAGATGTAGAATGTGTCTGGAAGATTAGAAACCCAGAGCAATGGTTTGTCTCAGAAGGGAGGTGGGTGGACTTTACGCCATGTGCTAAAATTACTTATAATAATTTTTTAATTGCCTCACATGGTGCCAAGCAGGAACTCAATAAATATTTGTTGATTGATTTCTTTCACACATCTCTGGTGAATACCAAAAACTCCATGTGTTTCTACGGCGTGTGCTTGTTATTCAGAAAGGCCGTTTTATTTATTGACATGGATCATGAACAGATTAACTAAATAGACCTGAGCATCTGACTCATAATCTTGTCATCTACGTTTTAAATAATTCATTCTGGTTGTATTTCTCCTTTTGGTACTGAGCGGTGCAGAGTGAGTAGGTTAGGATGCAAAAGAAAGCTATTTCCCTTCAAATATGGAGTGCTTGCTACATTTCTGCTTCCTGCTTGTTCAGGAGCCAGGCTTTGTGATCTTTCATCAGGCATAAGAGACAACGGACTGCCATGTAGGGAAAAAGCAAACACATAATGCAAAAATTAATGGGGTTTAGATGATACCTTGTTCATGGAATAGGTTTCCCTACGACTGGGTGCTCATAGCTCAGTGGTTAAGGTGCCCGCCACATGCTTTGGAGCTGGCATGTTCAAACCCAGCCTGGGCCTACTAAACAACAACAACAACAACAACAACAACAACAACAACAAAAATAGCCAGGTATTGTGGAGGGCACCTGTAGTCCCAGCCACTATGAAGGCTGAGGCAAGAGAATTGCTTGAGCCCAAGAGTTTGAGGTTGCTGTGAGCTATGACGCCATGACACTCTACCGAAGGTGACAAAGTGAGACTCTGTCTCTAAAAAAAAAAGAAAAAAAAGAATATGTTTCCCTGTATTGTCTTCACATGGTTTAGCAAGAACAGTTATCTTAAAAGAAAACCTGTCTCTTTCGAAGTCAAAATCATTGGTCTCCAAGACCTTTATGAAAACTTTGTCAAATCCTAAGTTTGTAGTCCTCGTTCCCTCTTGCAAGCACTCATTTCATTTGGTAGTTTCTGCAGCTACATTGTCAGAAGGGAAACCAAGAGCCAAGTTAGTCTCTTAGGGACCGGCCTTAATACAGGTCCCTAAGGAATTTGACAGCCATCCCAAATTCACCTTCATGAGTCTTCCTTAAGTAAAGGTACATTTGCAAATCAAATGCTTGGAATTCCCTGGCTATCTGGTGGTTCTCAAAATAATATGAAGGCTGTCTCTGGTTATTTACAATACATGTAAAATACCACAGCACCTGGTATGTAACAGGCACTGACGCTGGGTGAGCTGAATTGAGCTGGATTGGTTTCAACTGAATTGAATTCTACTCACGTATTTATCTGGCTAGAATTTTCTCATTCATACATTATTTTCAACTCATACAAGAGAGTACAGAGTAGCCAAATTTAATAATGTTTAAACCAAGAATGAGTGCAAGCCAGGGAATGCTTGGAGCAAAATTACAATTTTGAGGTTTGCAAGATACTGTGCGCAAGTTACGAAGAAATTTTTGCAAGTCTGTTTGATGTCATCTCCAGCATGTGCTGTGATAGCCCTTTATGTTTCTGGCCTCAGAGAAGGAAACTAACAGCGTGCCAGAGACTAAGCATTTCAAAGCAGAATCACTGTGGAAAGGACGCTCGGGGGGCGGGGGGGGGTGCATTTGATACAAAAATATGTTAACTTAGTACTGAAATAATCAATTAACAGCTTCCCAAAGATTCATGCACAAAAGTGTTTCATCACTTCATTAGCTATAAAAATTGTGAAGTACCAAGTAACCAAATAGGGGATTGATGGTGATAGATCCATAAAATAATAAGGTCTGCAGTGATTAAAAATAATGTTGGTAGCCTTGTCAACAAGGGCAACTTGCATAATTTAAATGAAAAAAGTAAGAGTCAAATTTGTAGGGCGGCGCCTGTGGCTCAAAGGGGTAGGGCTCCAGCCCCATATGCTGGAGGTGGTGGCTTCATACCCAGCCCCGGCCAAAAAAAAACTGCAAAAAAAAAAAAAAAGAGTCAAATTTGTAAACACAGTTTCACCCAAGGATGCTTAAAAGTCTGTGGAGAAACCAAAAGATAGGAAGGAATAAAATTGTTACCTGTAAGAGCAGCCATCCCACTTTCTTCCTTTTTCCAATTATCAGTGTTTGCCAATACTTCCCACAGGTGCATATTTCTTTTACAATTAAAAACGTTAACCAGACATGAAATCTCATCACAGGAATTCCAATCCGGACAACCTTGGACAACTCGACCACAGTCCAGTACGCAGGTCTCCTCCATCAGCTCACGATGAAAGCCAGGAGCACGGTCCGCGACATCGACCCCCAGAACGACCTAACTTTCCTCAGGATCAGATCAAAGAAACATGAAATCATGGTAGCTCCAGGTAATTCTGGCATTTCATTTCATAATGAAAGCATCATCTCTACTCTACTGGAGAAAAGCCTCATTTCAAAGAATGGGGAACATAGATTTTAGTACACGATGTGAAAAAATAGTCTTTGGTTATGAAACAAAGACATTGGAATCTGAAAATCCCAGTGCCTGTGCCTGTGACTCGTAGGGTAGCAAGGTTCAAACCCAGCCCCAGCCAAGCAATAAAAAAAAAAAAATAGCTGGGCATTGTGGCAGGCGCCTGTGGTCCCAGCCACTTGGGAGGCTGAGGCAAGAGAATCACCTAAGCCCAGGAGTTGGAGGTTGCTGTGAGCTGTGACGCCACAGCACTCTACCACTCTACCAAGGATGATAAAGTGAGACTCTGTCTTTAAAAAAAAAAAAAAAGAAAGAAAGAAAATTAGCAACTATGATAATTTGACCATGGAACAAGTTGAATTTTGACCAGTTGCAAAAATCAAAAAAATTTTCGGAGACCTGAGTCTCATTGTCAGTGAACTTAGCTCACAGACTCTGGAGAGGGCAAGAAAGGGCCCCTGCGCTGGGGATCAGCAGGGGTGGAGCTGGGTCCACAGGGTCTTAAACCCTCCCTCCCGGGCCAGCACATCCACCTGGTACCAGAAGACAGCAGCCACAGAAACACTCCTTTCCTTGAAGGAATTAACATTCACAGTGTTAGCAAATGACTATAAAACGTGACTGATGCTACTGGATCTGGTCTAAAACAAACTTCCCTACAGCACATATATCAAACCAGAATCGCCTATAAACTAAATAAAGCTGTTTCTATGCCTGTGTTCTCACCCTGACTGCACATTAAAATCACCTGGAGAGCTTTTAAAAAAAAAAAAAAAAAAAAGATCCATGCCTGGGACTTCACCTGGACCAATGAAATAATGGCTGTGTTCTAAAGGTTGAACAGGTGGTCCTGATGGGCCAGCAGGGTCAGGAATCCAGGACTGTCCTTGGGATGTTTTGAAGAGAAAAGCATATGAGCTGAAATTTAGGAAATGTAATCATTTAGTTACATTTGTTAGGTTGAATGTTTAGGGTAAACTGATTTTGTCGACATCTCTCGGCAGATAAGGAGTATCTTCTGATCGTCATTCAGAATCCGTGTGAATAGACCTGCCGTGGCAGCCGAGGCAGCCCTGGTGACACTGCGCTGGAAACACTTCACTATCTGATGATTATTAAATTACACTCCCACCCACCTGACCCTCTGGACATTCTTTTCTATGTTTACCTTTAAATCGTTCTACAGGTCCCATTTAGTCCCTTTTGATTATATGGTGAAGTTGTACTTTTGCTATGTAATAAATGAATTCTGGTACCCACATCTCTCTTTTCTGTTCAGTCCACAGAACTGAGGATTCCAGTGAGGAGACAGCCCTGCTTGCCATAGTTCTTTTAGTCTAGAAGTAGCAGTCACCAAGCATAGAAATATAACTTTACCTATTTCCGTTACATGCCAACAAGATTCCATGGAGTTCTGTGGAGGTCACAAGAGAAGCAGAAAGTCTCATAGCTTAAAGAGTGTTTGACGCTCTCCTAGGTTAAATAAAGATAGTAGGAAGTCAGAGTATGGCCCTCAGCCACGGCCAGCTTCTGTCCCACCAGCCTGAGGGGCCCCGATATATAAAAAGCTAAAGAGAGAACTCCAGAGAGTTTCATTTTTATTTTTTTATTTATTTAATTTTTTTTTTGCAGTTTTTGGCTGGAGCCGAGTTTGAACCCACCACCTCCAGTATATGGGGCCAGCGCCCTACTCCTTGAGCCACAGGCACAGCCACAGAGAGTTTTATTTTTCACTAGATATTTAAAACATTCATAAAATGACAAAAGTAATGTGACAGATTTCCCTATACCCCAAACCCATAGAGAACAGATGTTAATAGTTTACCATCTTTTATCTCCTCCCCTCCTTTTACCTAAACTTTTTATTTTACAATAAATGAAGATTCATGCGAAGTTGTAAGAAATCGCATAAAGATCCTGTGTACCTTTTACCAAGTTTCCCAGTGACGACATCTCCCGAAGCCCCAGTACCTCATCACACCCAGGAAACTGACACGGACTTCCCCTCATTGACCTTCAGTAGCCTGCCCACCCGTGACTCCCAACAACCACCAATCTGTCCTCCATTTCCATAATTTCGTCATATCAAAAATGTTATATAAATGGAATCGCACAGTATGAAGCCTTTTGGAATTGACTTTTGGTCACTCAGCATAATTCTCTTGTAATTCATCCCAAAAAAGCAATGAAACATCACAGACACAGCTGACATCTGCCCCTCCTTGTGCCTCCAACCTCCTTCCCAAGGGATTCTTGTCAAGAGGCACAAATGACCCGACACAGGGGTCCACAGGCCCTTTCATCTACGTTCCTATTACAAGGCCACAAGAAGTTGCATTTGTGGAATGGTGCGTGGTAAGCTGTTTGACCATTCCCATGGCCCCAGCTTGCATCCGTGAGGCTATCACAGCCACCCTACACAGATGGGGGTATCAGCAGAAAGGAAGGGCCGTGGCAAATCCCTGAGGTTACAGGAGTTTACTCTTCAGGTGATGCTAGGAAGGGAGACAGGTCAGGGATGGAACTTAGCCAAGGTTGAAGAGGCAGCGGAGGTTGAAGCCAAACAGCCAAACCCGTGCATGCAACAGACATCTGAGCCTCATTTCATTTCGCAAATGCTCTGCAAGGAACTGCAGAACAGCGCCTGGCTGAGATCCCCTGCCCAGTAGTGGTCAGGAACATCATCGGTCCTAGATTTTTCAAACTCTGGCTCTGCCATTTGTAGGCAGTATGAGCTACTCACAGCCTCATCTGTAAGATGGAGTGAGACCAGACCCTAAATAAGGTTGGTTTGCGAGAAGCCAGTGAGCTGGTACAGATACAGTGCCAGGCACAGAGGGAGTTATCAACAGAGTTTACCTTCTTTTTTTTTCTGAGACAGAGTCTCACTCTGTTGCTCTGGGTAGAGTGCTGTGGCATCACAGCTCACGGCAACCTCAAACTCTTGAAGTTAAGCGCTTCTCTTGCCTCAGCCTCCCAAGTAGCTGGGACTACAGGCACCTCCCACAACACCTAGATAATGTTTTACTAGATATGTTTACTACAGACAGGGTTCTTGCTCAGCCTGGTTTCAAACTCCTAAACTCAAGCAATCCACCTCCCTCAGCCTCCCACAGTGCTAGGACTACAGGTGAGAGCCACCACGTCCAGCCAACAGATTAGCTTCTTCTTCCAGCTACTCAGAAATGGCTCTTCCCTGGGTAATGAGGAGGAGTGGCCCCAGACATGTGTAAATGAGCTCCAGAGACAGCCCTGAGGCCCCTCACATTATCAAGTCCACACAAGTACAGGCGGATTCTGACTCTGTCTCCAGACAAGACAGAACAAGTGGGGAAGTGAGCCAGAAGCGTGACAGAGGAGAGCACCCCTGCCCCTGCGGGGTGATGAACACAGAAGAAGGGGGCGAGGGGGATGGAGTACCCACCGCAGCACGCAGCTGGCTTCCAAGCAATTTCCTTTGCTTTTTATTTTAAAAGCCTTCCAACTTACAGAAGGTTAGAAAGAAGACAGTACAACGAACACTCCTATAAGCTTCACCCACATTCACCAACTGTTAATATTTTATGACATTTCCATCATCTTTCTCTGTAAACACACATTTAAATAGATATTTTTTATATATATACACACACACACGTCACATAGGAGTAGCAGCTAACCATAACTGCAGGTAGTTCCCCCCCAATAAAAATATCCTCTTACATAACCACAACACCAATTTCATCCTTAAGAAATTTAATACTGATGGGATCATATCTTCGAATATGCAACCACATTCAAATTTCCCCAGGGGTTCCAATAACGCCCTTCCTAGCTTTTTTGGTTAACCAGGAGCCTATCAGGGGCCACACATTGCACTTGAGCATCGTGTCTCTCTAGTTATTTGCTGTTTTTAGAAGCCCGTGTTCTCTGCTCTCTGCCTCTAGGCGAGGTGGTATCATGTCTGCATCCGTCGCTCTCCCTAGAGTCCCCAGGGTCACCTGCCCTTTACTCCCCTTCAGCCCCTCCTTATTGGACAAAACATGGCCTGTAACCACAGGAAATCCAGCAAAGAGCAGGTCTTGATCACAGGTGAGTGCTCGCCTCTCATTCCAGCCTCTCCCTGATGCCCAGTGAAGTCTGAGTGCCACCGTACTCACTCATGCCCAGACGATGGGCATCCATTCATGGTTCCCAACACAAGTGAGGTCTTGCTAGAATCTAAACGATAAGAAAATGTACTGACGATGCCCAGTCTATCTAGAGTCCCGAATTTTCAGATGGAGAGAATTATAGGAACCATCTATCCATCCTTAGGTTTTACAGGGGAGGTAAGGATCTCACCTGAGCCCAGTGTCAGGTGTCTCTAAGGCAGTGCTTGTCAACCTTTTTGATCTCACGGCACACTGGAACCACTTAGTAAAACGTCCACGGCACACTTAAACTATGTTGATCCCCCCAAAAGTGTAAAAAGATAATATACTTACTGTGCTTTGAACGTCTTTCAAAATAATTTAATTAATGATATTTTTAAAAAATTGTGGCACACGTAACGTCCTTTCTCAACACACCAGTTAAAAATCACTGATCTGAGGCATCAAGTATGTGAACTTGGACTGATCTGGTTAGGCCCATGGGATTATCAGGGGCGCAAGCTCTTGTGAGAACCCCTCCATAACCTCCCTTGAAAATTATTTTTAGGAGGTACAGAATGGCTTATTGTTTTAAAGCTCCCTTGATTCCAATGCCTAAATCTGTCTTCCCTCCACACTGCCCAGCCCACCTAGAGCTCATCAGCAGATGCATGGCTGAGTGGTAAAGCCACTTCCTTCCTCCGGGCCCAGCCAGAAATTTCAAGCCCCATTTGAGACATAGCAGTGTGAAATCTCAGGCAGGTGCAGATGGTGCTGGCACCAGTGCCAGGCCTCTACGTGGGCTCTTCTAGGGAGGAAGGCCCTGCCATCCCACTGGGCAGAGAACCCGTTGTAGTCCTGCCTGTACCTTTCAATCCACAGGGGACTGTGACCTTTTGTCAGGGCAGAGACTGTGGCAGCAAAAGGTCGAACTTGCCAGAGCCAGTTACAACAGAGGAGGATGTGGCCTCGGGGAATGAGTACCACGCCTCAGGCGCACAGACTTTCACTTTCCCTGGGAGGCTCATAACAGCGTAGTTACTGACCTGTGGCTAGAAGGTGCCTGGACCCAGCGACTGAAGATCCACACCCATCCAAGACCACTGGTGAAGCTTTCATTCCTATGAGAAGTACAAGCCCAGGGCTTCCGTGGTACATCCAACCTGCCAAACATTTTACCTGAACAATAGGAAAGCTATTTGCAGAGTCTCCGGAGGAACATATTCCAACCATAAATATTAATGATAATGAACCTGGAAAGGCCAGCTTAATAAAATAGATGAAAAGGCATTTACACATCATTAGCATTACGAGCTCCCAAATCTTCATGTGGGAACAGCTGGCCCACCCAGCCAGGAGAAATGGGAACACCCCCCGCCCCAATCTCCAGCCAGGTGCCTCCTGCAGGCCCTTCCACTGGGGACATTCTGGCTTTCAAAATAGATCACCTATTCTCTGGCAAAGCCCAAACTGCCAAAGACTAAGACTTGGGTTTTTTTTTTTCCCCTCCCTTCTCAGCTTGAAATCACAGTTAGCCCCAATATGTGCTTGATATGGAGCAAAATATCCTCACTCTTGAAATTAGAAAATACTGTAATGTCCTTAGGCTGCAAACTGTAGCATGTGTCGGTGAGCTGACCACAGCTACTCAGGCATCAACCAATATGTGGTTTTATAGTCCCTGCATTAAAAAAAAAAAAAAAAGGCAAGAAAAAACCAGGTTCTGTTTGGCGCCAGTTCAGAGTTTTCAGAGAGGTGGTAACATCTCCAACAGAACCTTCCAAAAGATAAAGTGGCCTCTCAAAGCCTGGGAGTCCTGGGGCTAGAATGTTCCCTTCACACAAAGTAACTCCTTTCTGGTGTATTTCTCGTGCAAGATCTGACATTAGCCCTGCACCTGGCCCTTCTTTGATCCTAGAGAACAGAGACCCTTCTTACTCCCTCCTGGTTTCTAAGCCCAGAGAACCTCGGTTCCTCATTTCCCTTTACATATGTGGCTTTAGGACCCCATCTCTAGATGTCACCAAGCTCGAACACCCACGCTGCAGGCAGAATTGATCTGATAGATTCCAGCATTGTTTAGGGAAACTGTATAACATGAGCCATGACACAGTGCAGCTGAGAGAGCAGGACTGC